TTCAAAAGAGGTTAAACTATTTAATTTTGCTACAGGAAACCAAGATGACGGAGAGAACCTCGTTGGCTTCGAGATGCTTGATAGCAACGAAATAGCCCTCACGAATGATTCCGGTTCTCAAGACGCAAAAGAAGTTCATTTGTGTATGGCCAGAGCCGAGTCACTGACAAGGTAATAAGATTATATTATAGTGTTAATACTTTAGAATAACGTCGCTACTCATCTAGAAAAATGCCTTGGCAATATTGCATATTATCGCGAATGTTTCGGACCGATCTGAGTGGTCTTTTCCGCGCCTTTTTGGCAAGTCACGTGTGCAACTCATTGGCCGACAATGCTTATGTGTACAGCGTGCTTATACAAGGGATTTTGTTCGTATTTTATTGAAGCCAATGAACTTACATGCATGATGACCAGTCATAAGTGCCCAGTTTACTGACCCTGAATTTTGTTCTTCACAAACTTTTGTGTGCTATAAAGCACTCGCACACAAGATTAGATATTTCAAATCAGGAGCCGTTATATCAAGGCAAACTGTTGCTTACATACTGTAGTAACACTTGCCTTATGGTATATGCCAAGCTGAGGCTGTTCCTTTGGGCAGCCTTACTAGGTGCTCATTTCTGATTCTTGAAATTCTTTGACCGTGTGTTGAATGCAGAATAGAAACCAAAGCTTGACCTACAAACCCTAAAAATTAATCGTTTGCAGAGGCTGCTGGCAAATAAATTCAGTGGCTTTGATACTTATTTACCTATAAGACGCCAACACTGATACGGGTTTTGTATTATTACTAGTTTTCTTCTAATCTTGTCAGCACTTTTGTTTTGGCGCATTAGCATTTGGTAGCATAATAATAATAATAATAATAATAATATTTATTTATACACGATAAGTTATATACAGCGTAGCTGATGTGGTCGTGTTCTAAGCATAAGAGTTGATGTAGGAAACTAAAGATTTTTTATATTGAATAACAGAAAAACATGCCATTCCCTGTAAAACAAAACTGCCGRGGTGGACCAGAAAAGGAATTATACGAAAAAAGAAAGGTTAATAACTGTATGTGGAAATGAAAAAAATTCATTACATTTCTCCAACGATTTGCAGCATAATGGTGGTATAGAAACTTATTTGTCGAAAATAATAAAATAAACCCGATGAATCTAGCCACACCTCCAAAGGAATGATTTTCTTAAACATCAGCTATACTTAAACTTAAAATTGTTGGTTAATGCTTGAATTTGTTGCAAATATTTGCAGGATAAAGAGAATGCTGCAGGATACATAAATCTAGTCAACATCACCCCGGCATAATCAAATGGAACTGTTGTAGATGTTCAATCAATATGCTTGCCTGGCAGCTGAAGGCTTAGTTGTCTGGAATTGCTCTCCAACACAATTACAAATGCCACTTTAACCGACTTTTATAGCTAGCTACTATTTTATTAATGCAAGCTGCTATAGCCTAATGAACATTGTCAGTTTTGAAATTATAGTCCTGTGATGGTTTTCAGTTAAAATTCCTAGTACTAGTGAATATAATTGTAATTTCTTTGGATAACTGCCTTTAAGAAAAGAATTTAAATAATTTTTTTTTTGAGTTAGCCATTTTTGGTTTGATGTATTAAGTACTATTATTTTAACCATGGCGAGAAATGGTTATTTCTACCAATTGTTTTTAAGCATTTAACAATGATTGAAACAAAACAGTTGGTTTGATGTATTAATTATTGTCAATTTAACCATTCGAGGAATGGTTATTTCTACCAATTGTTTTTAACCATTAACAATGGTTGAAATAACACAGTTTAACCATTCTAAATTGATTACCACAGATCCACCCATGGTACAATTCTAAATAGGTTAAAATAACCTATTATGATGTGGTTGAAACTACCATAAATTGGTTATTATAACCAACTATTAATGGT